AGCTCTTCTTTTTGTGGTGAAATTTTCAAGTATTCAAAGGTTTTAGATTTTTAGAAATTTGATTTTGAAAATTTTTTAATTTAAAAAATATAAAAAATTTAAACAATTATTATGTAAAAACTATCAAACCGAATTGGATGAATTTTGGTGTGATGATTCTATGCACTAAGAAGTTTAATTGGGAAAAGTATGAAGATCCTATGTATTATTCAAGTGTCTGACATAAATTGACAAATAAACTATTATTTTTTGCAATTTTTTAAATGATTTTCCGATTTTTGCAATAACAATAATTATTTTTTCGACAATCTGTTAACAGTTCAACACCCTGTATCTCTGTAAGGAGGCATTTTGGAACAAATTTTTATCTGACCAATTATCTTGGAATTCATCTCCAAACCATGTTTTAGGCCACCCGGGGTACAAGCGACACATGTCCGTACCGTTAGACATAGCCAAATCCAACTCGGACAGCACCGTGCTGAAGAAGGTGGCGTCCCTGACTCTTAGCAAGGCGGAGTTGGAGTCTAAAGTTACCAAACCGAAATTCGTACCTGAGAAGTTGGACTTTAAGTTATACGAGAAGTTCGAAGGTGAGTGAACAATGTAAGGGTAAAAGTTAAGGAACTCTGGTTTATTGCCGTTATTACAGATTGCTTTCGAAATTCGACCTTTAAAGTGGCTTCGCCGGATGAAACCCCGGTGCGGGATTGATTTTAAATTAGTCGTACTTTGAGCTTAGTTAGACTTTGGGGGGTTGTGGAATCGCACGTGGAATCAATACGATAACATGAAGTTTATTCTGTGAAGTAATAACTCGGGAAAGCATGACAATTCACGGAGTTGTTCCTAAAATCGCAACAGGAACAAATTTTGTGAGAACTCGATGTTTGCATTGCGATTACAGTCATATAAAAAAAAGGCCAATCCCCAGAGAGCCACATATAATTTTCGAGGGAATTCGATGTTTTGAAGACGATCTCGTGATCAAAATTCATGACTTCCCGATGAATTCCGGAGAAAAGTGAAATTTTTCGGTGGTAATTTCCACTCGGGGAAATATATTTATTCCAGTAGAAATGAAATGTTTTATTATCTGGCAAAGTTTTGTAAAAATTTAACTTCATTATTTTCATACTTCATAGTCTATGAATTTGCATAAAATTTAAAAGTGAATGTTCAAAACAAAATAAAACGGTTTAAAGGTTATTACATTTATCTATAACAATAGGCAATAAATTGTAAAATTAAAAATAATATTTTTAAACTCATCTTCATTTGTTTATCTGAGACAGTTATTAATAGATGCTGTAAACGATAATAAATTGAAATTATCATAATTTTTAGATAATTTAGGTAATGTTGGAAAATCCACGGCGCTGGTTCACAATTCGAATATAAAAAAAAGTACAATAGTTTTTCGGGTTCATATGCCGTGGCTTACGTTCTCGGTCGCCGCCAATTACAGACTTACATTACACTCCTTAACCCTAGCTAGGAAACTCTGACCTACCCTTGTTGTTCTCGGCCCAGGCTCTGTGGGGGCGGACCCGCTATCAGAACCAGTTACAGAGGCCACTACAGGACGTAGAGAACCACAATTGTAACCATAAATACAAAATTTTAAACGTATCTATTTACTTTTTTTCAGTTTTCCATGACTAACTATATTAACTAAAATCTCACTTGACTTGATGAATGGGTGTTCTGATATATAATAACTCGAAGTTATTGAAGCTTTATTATGGTCAGGAACAGTTTAATAATATTTATTGCCATTAGAAGTATTCTCGTAACATGCTGACTAACAATTTACATAAAAATATTTCCCTGGGGTACGAATTACCGATAATTGTATTAACTGATGAGAAGGTAAAATTTAATTTTTA